TCTTACAATTAGAAGTATTCACGGGCTTCACGGATTTCTTCTCAATTTTATCATTTTACGATCGAATATTTTTCCAATATTCAATTGAGTGAGAATTTCATCTCCATTGATGTGTTCAATCGCTAATTTTCATGTCAGCGATCTTATCTGTAGTTTTTCGTTGTTATCAAATGATCATGCAGCAATTCAGGTTGTATTTCAGGTTGTTGAGAAGTACAATCAAACAAGCGAGAATCAAGCATGAAACAAGTTGGCACATGGCTATCAATTGTTTTTATTATTGCAGTGATTGAAAATATCGAAGCTGGAACATGGCTCTCGTTTAGTGAGTTACTTTCTGAATCACTTAATGCCTAAAGATTTTGCCGAATCAACCAGATTATGCCCAAAAATTCCATTGTTTCCACTTACTAATATGCAGTTTCTCATTATTTTTCCAGTGTTTCAATGCCTTCCTGTCCAAATTTGTTTTATATCATAAAGGAACAAATAAATGCTCACAATGTATCGCTCCTCATCGAGTTCAATCAACTGATCAGTAACTAATGAGATTAATTAATCCATATTGCACCCTTAGATCAAAAATTGCCTCTATAGATCAGAAGATTAATTGATTAAACACCTTTTTTTTGGAATTGATCAATCCTAGTGTCCTTTGAATGTGTTTCGGATGGTGTGCGTGATCTTACGTTAGTGAATTTTACATTGAAACGACTCAACTGTAAATGTGAAACGATCGATAGAATAAAGCTGATAGCCATTTAAGAATGTGAATCAATCAAATGCAACAGGCCAGTGTTTCTGTTACGGCTGGCTGAATCGTCCCCTGCGGTATAATTTGAGGACGACATTGGTAACTAGTAACTTCGCTAGGTTGTAGGAAGATTTACGATCAAGTTCGGTCATTCATTCCAAGTCAATTCGTTGTGTTTCTTATGAGGTGAAGATGATAAAATCTCAANGGAATTGAAGCAATCTAGCTAATAGTCTTGTCCGTCTGCTGAGAATATTTCAAACTTTGAAATATAGTCTTGGAATGAAAATTTTTTGAAAAATTCCATCGAACTATTTGTTTGTTTGAAAAAAAAACTTGGTTCATCATTCAAGCCCTCTTGGATAAAAATGTTAAAAAGTAGGAAGGGAATGAGTCGTGAAGAGAATTCGGATTAAGACCAGAACAAGGACAAGGACTCCGAGACTTTTTTCGGTTGATGAGAGGCGACTCTACCCATGAAGTGATCTATTGGTCTGAAGTGATCTGAAGTGAGCATTCAGAGTGGCTTTTTAAATTCAGATCATGGAGGTAGCGAACTTGGCAATGGTCTAGCATCGGGACCACTGGTTCCTGCGGCGGATTTGGCTCGTTTGGTGCGATCTTGTGATGAAGACTATGTGAGCACTTACTTCCTCACATTGCTTAAATCTTTTAAAACCATCGGATTTCTGTTTCATGATTTTGGTAAACTGTCCCAATTCTATTCCGCCTTTCGGTTGTTATTTTTCTGTTCTTAAAAATCACTGAAGTGAACTGAATTGGAAGCAATCGTTTTTCGGAGATCTTTCCTCTATAATATCTGCAAAATTTTATTGTAAAAATTGTTGCAATCGTTTGATTTGACAATAATCTCATAAGATATCTCAAACGTTCCAGGTGAAGCAGGGTAATGCGATAACAGCACAGCAAAGACGTACGGCAGAATTATGCAAAACTCTATTCGATATGCTTTCAAGGAAATAAAGTTTGATCGCCACTCACAAATCATCCTCGTCGTCGTCGTCGTCTGTAATTTCAACCTGTAAAATCGCGATTCTTTTCATGCATTTCCACGCGTTTTTGCCGTAAATTCGATGCAAACCTCGCGTCTGAACTGTACCCAAATGTTTAATATTCTTTGGATGAGGTGTTGAAAGTTCGGACGTTTCAATCTCAGTAGTAACCACGATCGCTTACTTTGAAATGTCGCGATTGAATCAAAAAAAGTGAATCAAAGAGCCGTGAAAATTCAACCAGAACAGCGTTCAGATGAGGTTTCTACAACGATCTCAATGCAGAATCAGTAATCTATTGCACATGCCAATTATTAGGCCGCCGTATCATGCGAAGCATCATTGTTTTGTCGAATACACACAATATGTGTATGTATTTGTCATTCGTTCCCACTGTTATCCATGCTAAATACAGTAAAACTTGTTGATCAAGTGATCTAATGTGATCATCGTGATCTACACGAGACTGATCAATACCAAGCACCAAATATTGATCTATCAATCAAGTCAATAGAGCCACGCTCCAAAGGATCTATAATATATCACGAAGAAGGATCTGACGGAAGGATCGAAGCTAGTCCGAATGCACAGTTATCCAATTTCAAATGTTTCTTCCATAAACTATCAAAAGGCAGAAAATACAAAGTTTACCAGATCACATTTAATTGGTACAATCAGATTTATTTTAATAAATTTGATTTTTTAAGGATTCATCGAAATATTTATCGGTAAAAACGATCACCATATCACGTGTGTATTCATTGATTCAACAACACTTGCTTCGCTTGTCGTCACTATCGTTGCAGATGCAATTAATTGGTATCACTACCGAATGAAATTCTCGTCTCATCCTTGCCGAGACTCGTCCTCGATTCGGCACTCTCACGTGTTTTTTGTGTGAACAGCTCTGTGGTCACTTGAGTGGTATCTGCCTGAGTTCGATCACAACCGTGATTGCTCTTGAGTGCACTCCTTGAGGGCACTTTTTGAGTTTCAGCACGTTTTCGTGCCAAGTCGTCTTTTTCAACGTGATTCTCTGCGTGTTGNTTTTCAACGTGATTCTCTGCGTGTTGCTCATTCGACGACTCCTGTTGTGTCGTATCAGGCTGCAAATCAACCGTCCTGAAGCAACTAGCTAGCTAGCTCGACCTTAATATTAACCAAATGACAGATCTCTCTACCGACTTGACAAATCGCTCTTTTCGTTTGGGACTGATACACCGTTAGCAAGGGATTCTGACAGATTCAGACGAAAATTTTACTACCCTCACAACTAGAACCAAAATTCGAAGCGAATAATATCGACGAGCTGGATGTCCTGGTCAAATTCACTCAAGTCATGTCTCTGAGCGCTTCTAATTCCTTGACTCGAGAGTAGTTTTTGGTTTGCAGGAGATTTTCATTTCATATAAACCAAAAACTGATGTTTTCATAATCAAATACTAAGGAACGGAAGGCTGTTGAGCCTTCATAACGTATATGTTAATGAGACTGGTATTCATATCAGTTTGCCTAACGTTTAGTCTGCCTATTAGGCGATATATCCGTTAAAAAACCATAAGTTAGGCAAATTGTCCGTTAGACANGATATCATTAATACTGTCAATATATCGACGAATAATGCTAAAAAAAAAAACGAATAATGCCACTTTATCCCATTCATAGATCTATTATGATAACATGAACCGTGAGCCATCTGACTTCAGCTGCTTGTTCGTTCCACATCAGTTTCAAACATCAAATGCTACTGATCATAATGGATAATCCAGTTAACCTATTCGATGGCTTTGAAAGTTACAGCGACCTGAAAATCTCGTTGGAGACTTTAATACTGCGTACCTGAAAAAAATTTCGCTTCGAAATACATTGCTCTATGTTTTCAGATGCTTGTTCTTTAATTTATCAACCGATGGATTGAGATTCTTTGACGGCTGCTGTCCAAAATAACCACCGAGACGACTACAGCAATCGACCACACTGCTGGAAAAAATTTATACAAAATGCTAGGTTAACTGGGTGGATCTGAAGAGAAAGCGTCTGGTAACATGAGAGGCATTGGAAATTTCCATATTAATAACTGATTTAGAAGTTTTCATAAACTTGATCGACTCATTTGAGAAGCTAGATCCACTCGTTCCTATGCTATTTTATTCATTTCTTTGCATATTTAATCACTATTATTGTGATCATTGATCACTTATTTGATCACTTTTTTCGCCACAGCCTTCTTTCGTATTGATAACGATATCAGCATAGGATTATCACCAGTCTCCACAAAATTTTGGTTTAAACTATTGATCTTGTGCTAGTATCATTAACTTAATGAATATCGCGAATGTACTTGGTGTATATGAACTAGTATTGTTGGTGACAGCATGCAGTCATAAATTTGCATTGAATCAATGTAATTGTTGATCAAATTTGGAACAGATCATAAAAACAGATCAGATCAACAGATCAGATCATCATAACAGATCAGATCAATAAATTATACGCATGGTTTTCATAGCCTTGTGAAAGCTGCTGTTTCAGTTGAATCGTTGAAGTTGATTGATTTCCGTGATCAGCTGAAAAAAATGTTGAAATACAAATCGTAATGTTGATTTTTTTGGCGTTTTCGATAATACGAATCTACAAATATGGAAATTTACATACTCAAATAGACGACAAATCATAGAATTTTATATGCAAAATTAACGCAATCAAACGTAACTTAGTGATTCTTTGTAGTATTTTCGTCATTTGCTATTGTTTTGTGTTTTATAGACGGTTGATTTGAGTGAAAATTTTTTGTATTGAACAAAGTATTTTGGGTTAGTCATCGATCAGCATCGATCTACCTTGATCTTCGTGCTCTGTTTCTTGTCAGTCCTGCCAGCGGTGAAGTTTTTCGAACGATAAGTTACGTTCTATCGCCAGGATGGATTCCCAGTCTAAGGGGAAGTTTTTTCCCAGTCCAAGGGGAACTTCCGGATGCTTTTTAAACACTCCGGTCTCGGATACTCCGACTTGGAGTAGTTTGTCAAGGAAGATCTTTTAACGATGTAAATGATCCACAAATTAGAATTGTACCTGTAGCTGGAGACCAGGCTGCCTTGATTCTTTGATGATATATTGAAAATACCAGCTAGGTCGAATAAATTCAGAAAAAGTCACCATATCTAAGAAACTAGACATTTTCGGTTGATATACTTCAAAGTCATGATTGTTTTTGATACTTCAAATGGATGTTATCACCATTATTACTGTATTGTTCTCTGATGATCATTACCTTCATTATTATTACTTTTATGTAATTATTACCTTTATAATTATTGATTATTGGCCTTAATATTGCTGCTTCTCAAACATTGACTGATCGTTAGATCGATTGGCTGAAAGCAGATTGCAGAAGAGATCAGCATCGCAGCGGGGAGCAGCTTAGCAGTAGCGAATGTCAGCGAAACGCAATGTCAGATAGATCCACACCAAAAGGTACTTCATCGCGATTACCAACCAGACGCTTGAAGTCAACCAACTTGGCAGAACACAGCTTTTGGACTGATACATCACCGACTGGCAGTGTGAGCTGTTTGTTCATTCCGTCGGATTAACATTATCTTTATATCCCCATTCATAATCTAAAATCACGAATTAGAGTGGACAGAAGCAACTTTAAATGGATTCAGTATGGTTAAACTGTTTAGTGGAGCACTTCAGTTGACATGACCGTTTCAGTTGCAATCAGCTGATCGTATTATTGATTGACCATTGATCGTATTAGATATAATACGATCAACCAATTGATCACCTAATTGATCGTATTAATGTGATTTTGGTGATAGTATAATTGTGAAGTTAACGGTAGTGACTGGCTTACATGAAGGGCAAATAAATAAGCAGATAAATGGATAGATAAATACGGTTTTGAAGACATTATCGTCATATAGCAGATGAATGCTTGTCTAATTTGAGCAACTCATTGTTTAAGACAATTAATTGATGCTTCTTGCTGGCTTATTGCTCTTACTCTATCTACCGTCGTCAGGCATATGTTCCTTTGTGTTCTTCAAGGTTTGAAGAGCTGGAGAATTTCAGTTAAGCAGCAATTCAACGAACACAACATCGATGTCATCGACAGACGATCGTAGCAAGAAGATGCAACATTGTTCTGTGGGAGTAGGCGGAAACGCTGTTGCAGCAAACTCAGGCTCAGGCTCAGGTTCAGGCTTCGACGCAGAACAGTGTACGGCTGGAGGAGTAATAGGCTCGACTAGTGGGCGCCGATCGTTGCGGAAACAACAACGTCGTGGAGTGAATGCTATAGCTCGTGCAGAACATCATGATGAGACTCTAGTTGAGAGTAATATTTCGAGCGGAGCCGAAGAGGTGTGTGTGCTGAGCGGTTTTAAAGATTTTTCAAAAACTCTGAATTAAGTATTCTTTCATTTTCGGGGAGAATTGAGCTCTAGGGTGAAGGTTGTTGAACTCGAGTCATACATCGGTAAGTAGGAAGATGGTGATTAAAATATTTAAGATTTGAGATGTTTCCTAAAAAAAAAGGCACACTGGACGATCTTTCTATCTCAATTAGATACCTGATCAGCTGTTTGATCTCAGCTCTATAAAAACCTCAGTCGCTAACGTTTGTACTTGGTGCTGCAGTTAAATCTGCCTCTTTTCCTAACTAATCTATTGAACAGGAAGAAGAGAAACATCAGGATGAGACGAAGCAATCACCAAATAAGTTGGTACATACAGCACTGGAGTTAGCGTGGTCACTGTTCGGTCCGAACACGACCGTAGTGAAGACTCTACAGATGTCACGAGCTCACAGAAACGGTGGCCAAGAACCACATTCACTATCGTCAGGTGAGAACGCTTGAGGTTTTAACGAATAAACTTGCCGTATGTTTGGTGTGAAATGAAGATATCATTCGTTCCCAGGTAATCGATAATCGATAATCGATAAACTTCAAAGCTGATCTCCGGCTCAAACAGGCTAAAGCTTGGGATCTGGTGAAGATCTTGATCAATCAGAGCATCAGACAATTACTATAAGCACTTTTTTTGCTACGGATAAGATGTTTGAATAGATAACTATTGGCGAGCGATTTCATTGGACGGTTGAGCTGTCTACCGTACTCGCTGGCGGTTGTTAAAGCCGCAAGCCACGCCCCTCCTACAGTATGCGCGATAGTCATTGGCTACGCCTCCCACTCCACATGCAAAGAGTGGGAGGCGTTCTAATGCTAAAGTAACTGCTCTGAAAGCGTAGAAAATGTCAAATTTTAGTACGAAAACGTTCAGTTAAAGGGAAATTGCCATTGGAAAGGGTGTGACAAGAGGAGATCCATCAAATTTTCGCATTCGCATTCGGCAAATCCTCCTAAAACTCTGAAATGTTCTGCTGCACCGGCTGTTGGATGTCTTCTTGATGATACTGTCGCCACTAGAGCGAAAAGCCAGCATACAATGATAATAGTATTTAAGTATCAAATAGAAATGCTTGAGCTAAGGGCCGATAGTGTAGTGGTGTTTAGATGCTGGGTTTGAGGATGCGATTGATCTGTTCAGAAGGCGTGAGTTCGATTCGATTCAGAACGCGTCGGTCCGAAGTCTTTAACAAAGTTAGATCTCATTCAAGAGATCACAATCAAGAGGGCTTGTTTAGTTTCGACAAGACGAATTTGCAGATGTCATCTGCAATAGTTATCAAACAGAAGGATTCTAAGTGGTTTTAAACTTCAATTTTTAAAAAACTCTTGCTCTTGAGATGTCACGTTTGCAGAATACGCATCGCCAAGCGATGAGGATTCGGCCTCATTGAAGGAAGACGTAGAGGGTTCGTGCTGTCGGGAACTACGTCACCTGAGGCGTTGTGCGAGCGATAGCGCTCTGTTCGTGCACAGTAACAGCTACGAAACGGCACTAAATGGAGCGATTTCGTCCGCCTATGGAGTCCAATTCAGCCAGCTTCAGAATAACCCGAATCAGAGCAAAAATTTTCCATCTTTAGGGGTTAGGAATTAATTTTTTGATGAGATACAATGCTGTGGAAGGAAGTGATCGATCGATCGATTGCGAGCGATCGATCAAACCCATTTCTAATAGCTGGCATTCACATGAGTCAATATCGATTAGTTTTTACGACAGAAGTCAGGGCTGATCCCTATCTTCTTTAGCAAACCATATGAAGTTCCTGACGTCGAAAGTGATGCTGTGGTTCGATAGTAACTGTTGGACCTCATCACAAGCACAAACATGATCATTCATATCTTCGAAGGTGGAAATCTAGAGTTTGGGGTCACCACAATGAATTCCTTCGGGCTGGCTAGAGCTAACAAAAAGAGGAATTTAAATTCTGGGAACTGATAGAACTTGTCTGAATTCAGGACAATTTCTGTGGTGCCGGTGAAAGAACAGCGGAGGATTCTGGGATTACGGATACGGCCGCGAAAAAGATCGGAAGAGCAGAGGCAGCAGCTGCTCACGGTGACGCATTCGCGAAACAGAAGCCGAATAAGATCCACGCTCAGCTAAAGACTGCTACAAACAGTGAGATTTTGGGATATTTCAAATCCTTCCAGACTCTTAATTGCCTCTCAGGGTAAAAGCTGTTCAAGAGGAGAGTTTGGGTTGAATTTGATGATCAATTACTGCGATTGATTGCAAAATGATCAAAACGGATTTTTTAAGTGATTTCAGCCAGCGTCAGAAACCGAAGTCACTGAAACTGAAGTCATTAATTTGTTGCTTTATATGCGCCATTGTTTTAGGATTCCCAATTCAGTTAATAGAATGTTCGGTTGAAGTATTGAAATTCTATTGCTTTAACTGAAGAAGAATTTTTTGGTGTTTTACTGATAATAATAATAATAATATTTTATTCGCATGTCGATATGTATAATAAAATAAATACGGCACCATTTTACTTTGGGGGGTCGCACGCGAGCAAGCTCGCGCATGCCACTTGGCCTACTGCGCATGGCCTCAGTCCAAGGTGACCTCAGCCTCATCTAAGCGTAGCACATCAGATCGCTCGATGCTACAGCAGAGGCTAGCAAGTGAACTCAGGCTTAGGCTTAGGCTGAGACTACGCTTGGGCTGAAGCTATGCGCAGTAGGCGTGGCATGCGCGAGCTTGCTCGCGTGCGAACCCCCCAAAGTAAAAAAGTGCCGTAAATACAATCTAATACTATCTGGCGAATATACTACCGCAAGCAACTATTGCTGGGGAAGGGGAAAGATTTTAAAACGGGCAAAGGAGAATAATAATTTAAAATATATTATCGTACGATGAAGTTGGAAGAAAATTTCCTGCTGGTTTCCAACGAACCGGATAGATATTTTGAGGAATTTTTCAAAGCACCATGTTTCAACACTGGATACGAGGCTGTCGGAGGATTTATTCGAAAATATCAGGCATCGAAAAATAAATTTTTTGCAGCACTATCCAAATCGCTTACCGATCAAACTCGAAACGGTGACGGCGATAAAGACAGCGAACAGTCAATAAGAGAGCGACATCGTGAGCTTGTTGAGGAGTATTTCCAGCATTGTGCTGATTTTCGTCATCCACGCCTTCAGATCGGACGTCGTGACCAAACGGCTGCGGCCACTTGGCAAGACCGCTACTACTATGAGTATCATCAGTATTTGTGTAAGGTATGGAAGGAAATCATCCAACAAGAGGTTCGAAGAGACCCGGACGATTCAATAGAGGGAGATTTGAGAAGTGATCTGATCCAAGCGGATCTGAAGATGAGGCTAGAATGCTTTTAAATCGGGTCATTCATGAGGATTTGGATCAGTTCAAAGGAAACTTATGTCAAGAGTAAGTC